CTTTATTACTAGGTGTTATTATAAAATGTTACCAAATATGGCCAATTTTTTCAATTTCCTTAAAAAGTTTATGTTTTGAAGATAAGATGTTTTCATCTGACAGCGACGCTATGCAAAAACAGAGCAGATGAACAGTTAGCATTTTCTACAGTTCATTTGGAAAGTATTCAGAACCCTTCACTTTTTCCACATTTTGTTACGTTACAGCCTTAAATAAAAAAATATCCTCATCAATCTACACACAATACCCCATAATGACAAAGTCGAAAACAGGTTTTAAAACCTTTGCTGTGAGACTCGAAATTGAGCTCAGGTGCGTCCTGTTTCCATTGATCATCCTTGAGATGTTTCTACAACTTGATTGGAGTCCACCTGTGGTAAAGTCAATTGATTGGACATGATTTGGAAAGGCACACACCTGTCTATATAAGGTCCCACAGTGGACAGTCCATGTCAGAGCAAAAATCAAGCCATGAGGTCGAAGGAATTGTCCGTAGAGCTCCGAAACAGGATTGTGTCAAGGCACAGATCTGGAGAAGGGTACCAAAACATTTCTGCAGCATTGAAGGTCCCCAAGAACAGAGTGGCCTCCATCATTCTTAAATGGAAGAAGTTTGGAACCACCAAGACCTAGAGCTGGCCGCCCAGCCAAACTGAGCAATCGGGGGAAAAGGGCCTTGGTCAGGGAGGTGACCAAGAAGCCGATGATCACTCTGACAGAGCTCCAGAGTTCCTCTGTGGAGATGGGAGAACCTTCCAGAAGGACAACCATCTCTGCAGCACTCTACCAATCAAACCTTTATGGTAGAGTGGCAAGACGGAAGTCACTCCTCAGTAAAAGGCACATGACAGCCCACTTGGAGTTTGCCAAAAGGCACCTAAAGGACTCTCAGACCATGAGAAACAAGATTCTCTGGTCTGATGAAACCAAGATTGAACTATTTGGCCTGAATGCCAATTGTCACGTCTGGAGGAAACCAGGCACCGCTCATCACCTGGCCAATACCATCCCTGCGGTGAAGCATGGTGGTGGCAGCATCATGCTGTGGGAATGTTTTTCAGCGGCAGGGACTGGGAGACTAGTCAGGATCGAGGGAAAGATGAACGGAGCAAAGTACAGCGAGATCCTTGATGAAAACCTGCTCCAGAGCGCTCTCTGCCAATAACAGCTAGTTTTCAGTTTCCCCCTCCCCACTCAGACCACTCCCAAACAGAGAAATTGCTCTTTGCTAAGAAGCTGTATTTGTTATTTTTTTTTACCATTTTAATTTAAAACAATCCCAGTAAGGTACTTAACTGTTACCCAGAAAGGATTTGATATTGAGATAGAAATGACTGCATTGGACCTTTAAATTAATTCTGCCACAATTCTCCATTATTCAACACCTGTGCAATATTGACAACATAACTGAGTCATTCCACAAATAGAGTGCCTTTTATGTCCTTCAGACATTACGTGTGTACATTTTGATAAAACACTAAATGTAACAGTTGGATCACAGTGCATCTATGCTCTAACTAAACTAAACCACATAAAAAAAATCCAATAGCAGTGTGTTTTCAGCAAAATGTGGAATTTGTTTTCTCAGAAAATCCCTATTTTGGCAACTTCTAAAAAGATTTTAAGCCACTTAACGGTAACCACAAGATTTTCTCCAACTTCTCACCATCATTGTAAAGCCCAAGTTATTTTGTTACTTTGGGAAAGTAATCTCTAAAGATATTTTACTTATTTAATGTGATTATTAATTTACATTCGTCGCTCAGGTTTATGGTCAACCCTGTCACGTGAACTGAACTCTCTTTTTAATATGGTAAAACTATTCCATTTTAAATATATTTTTTATCTCCAAAAGAAACATTGACCATATAATAGTCAAATCATAGTGTAAGAGGAGGTGAGCTGGTTCTACTCTTTTTGACTAGTTTGTGGTGGACAACTGAGCACGTCGATCATAACACATCAACCCTGTTACCCATAGATGGATAGGCTAAAACTTTTTTAACAAGTTAAAATGTTTTGTTAAGCTTGCATTAAATTGCCCCTCCCTGTTGGACACAACACACTTCCATTCCCCTTGTCACAAGGTGAGTTAAAAAGGCAATAAAAAACAATAGGTTTCTAAAAAATAAATATTGCGTTCTCAACCTAATAACTCAACTTCTCTTCGCTCTATCAACTTGAGACTTATTGAGTGTCTTGAGGGCACTAGTAGGAAGGTGTATGTCAAAAAAGTAGGTGTTGATACAGTGTATCTCCAAAAACATGGAAACAGCATGCAATTCAGTTGTGAACCTGAAACTGTTAGCATTTATGCTAATTATAAAAATATGTCTAAGGGCAAGTCCTGCCGCCTAGTTGCAGGTACAACCACAAAACGATATGTCAAAAGATAGAAGAAAAAATGTTAACTTTGTAAATATATATATATATATTGCATCCTCAATCAAACCCTCACAACTTCACTTCTCCTTTCAAGGTTGCACATAAAGTGTTTTGAATTGTTACATGTACACGAGGGAGGACGTATAATGTTTCCATGCAACTGTCTCTTTCAGACTGCTCATAAGCCAGCACCCCATTTCATTGCTGCTTACAGCTATATTGATAATTGAATGATGATTTGAGTGCTTCAATTTGAGCCCACCAAAATGTATGCTGGTCCACCTATCAACTCTTTTTTTTACAGTACAGTCACATCTGCACATTAAACATCTCTTCTCTGTTTCATATTTGAAATGACTTTCAAAACTGTATTTCATATTACTTTTGCAGAAGCCCCATAATGTTCAAGTCAGTAACACTTTATTTGGATAGTCCATCTGTAGATGCTCTACAGACAATCTCTAAGACTATCAGTAATATTTCAACTAACTATCTACTAACCCTAGCCCTAACCCTAACCTTAACCCTTATCCTAACCCTAGCCCTAACCCTTACCCTAATCTTTATTCTAACCTTAACCCTAACTTTTACCTTAACAAGCAGTTGCTTATCAACAGATAGTTTGTTGATAGTATGACCATCTGTAGAGCATCTACAGATGGACTATCCGAACTATCCAAACAAATTGTGACCGCCAAGTCTTTCAGCATACAGTAGGCCTAACTATCTCACATTAAAGGGTTAGTGCGATATTTTGGCAATCAAGCCATTTTTTCTACTTACCCAGAGTCAGATTAACTCATGGATACCACCACACATGATACGTATTACACATGATATGTATGTCTCACAAATGCAATTTCGAGTCAATACAACTTTTTTATTTTCAACTTTATATGTGTACTGCTTTGCCTACTCGTGTTTCACTTTCACTTGAATCAATAAATAAGTCATTCATTTACAAAGCCATAACTTGTAATTTCATTGTGAGCCTTTCTTCCCCAATTTCAGCATAAATCTAATGTCAGTAGTTTTATTTTGTGTGCGTATGTTTTGATTCAACTGTAAGCCAACATGACTTAGAACCAGCTGTGAATTTGTTGTTTATTGTGTACAAACCTGCAAAAGAGACCAACTACAGACCAGTTATAACAGTTATTCCTTCTGTTCCTAAACATTGACAATACAGATACCCACATATAGTAAAACCTTTCAGTATAGAACACTGTGCGCTATGAACATGATCGTAACATACATTTGCTTTGAAAAAAAGTATGTTTAATAATGATGCTTTTACACATCCTCTAAAGGGGTGATACAGCATATCCTCAGAGCAAGGGAAATGATGCAGGGTCATAGGTCGTGTTGAGAAACTGTGTCGCTTGAATGCAATCTGGCCTGCTTGAACACTAAAGGGTATTTTCTCTCTGTTATATTGTCTACGGTATGTTTATAATCATAGCAAAATTGAAAGAATAGGCCAATTTATGGATAATAATACAGTACAAATGAAAACAGTTTATTTCTCAAAACCTTTTTCACCTTATGCTGTAATAATTGCAATATTCCACATAGGGGCAGGCTGTACCTTACAGTAAGTATCCTTTCTGTCTGCATGGTCTGTGCTACTGACTTATATCGGTCTGCAATCAAAGAGATTCAAGCTTGCAGTTTTTAGTCTTGATCTTTGAGCAAAACGACATAACATTCCAGCATTCAAGCCATAGTGTTATAGTCTATTATTATTGGGAAAGTACATAGCTAGATATAGGCCAATAGTTTAAGGACAGTGGTCTGAGCTATTCTATGGGCTACTTCATCCATTGCCACTTTAGTGTGTTATTATTGAATGGCATTCCTCTAGTCACTTGGAATGTGAATAATCACTTTGCAAAGAGGATATTTATGTTAGCAAGAAGCTGTTTACCTGAGAGTGATTCACAGTCCAATGTCCCATACTGTCCAGGCATAATAATAGACATAAAATGTTTGTCTATTAGGCTAACATGATCATTGGTCCAGACTAGAGTGCATTTTTGTGCCTTGGTTCTCCTTGTTTTTTTGTTGTTGCATTTTGGGGATATTTGGCCCTAATTCATGTGCAGGAACACTCCATGGACTGATATAGGCCACTAAATAAATACAAAAGCACATATATTTATCATTTTATGTATTTTTTTTTTTTTAACATTATTCTGGTCTTATGAGACATCGGTGCTCCTATTTGGAATCGGCGACAGTGCGCCTGTACAATTCGATGCTGTCTCTATAACTAACTGGGACAGATGTTGCTCATCATGCGCTGCGGAGTGGAACCGGGAACTGTTGTCGCGTGGCAAACATGTCTACAGTCTCCTGTCTCCACTGATAAGCAGCCTTGACATGACCATGGGTACGGATTCCACACAACCCAGAGGTCTCGTTAACTAAACTAGATTCGTAATTAGAGTCCTCTTGCTGCTGTCTTCGCACTTGACTTCGAATTCATTTCTGGCATTGGGGGACGCTATTGATACGCACGATATTGCGCTCGCTATCAGGCGCGTGAGGACCGCACTTCACGCTTTGGTGTGAGATATTTGGAGTTGCAAAATTGGTACCGCAATTTAGGACAATGACGGACTCCACAGCCCCATACCCGGTGAGCACCATCCCGGATCCAACTATTGTCGATCCGTCGACTGTGAACTGCCAGTGCGACCCGACAAATCAACAGCCACCCAAAAGAGCAAGTCAGGGGGAACCTAAATTCAAGATGGACCAGGAGATGAAGATTAGTGATAGCGTGGAGGGGCAAGGTAGGCGGATAACTATGAGAAATCTAACAAAAATGTGTGTTATCTGTGCGCCTTCCTTGGATAATATTGCAAAGAAAATAAAGAATATAATATCTATTGTTTTTGAATTATTCAAGGAACGTTTTTATGAATGCTTTGTGCAGCAGAAAGTATTGCAGTCCACTAACACAATATAATAGTCTGTCGATAGTACAAAGTAAACCAACATTCTATGTACGTTTCGTATTGTTTTTCTTTTAGCAGAAGTATCTCAATAAACTAAACTGTCATAGCAATGCATTTGAGTTACTCTAAACGCTTATGGGCTACTCCCAGCATGTGTCAAGAATTACCATTATACATTATAAGTAGTCTCTTTAAGCAGACTAGAAACAATTATGGATAAGACTTTACTTAAAGGGGGTATAGTAAGGCATCCATAACACATTTATGAAGTTTTACACTGACTGACAAACTGCTTGATAATAGCAGGGCACTATCTCCATCACTGATCCAACACATCTAAGCAACACATCTCTGAGATCATTGTCTCAATGACTGACCATTATAGTATAGCCTACATGCTGGCACTCTGATCAGCTGACTCTAAAATAAAATAATGTTCACACCCTCTAGCTCCTATATGCAATTAACCTCATTCAAAACACATTTTAGAGGACTATGTAGTCACTCAATTAATTGATCAATTCACCCTGAGATTGATTTGAATTAAACTAATAGGAATCCATAGAATAGAATATAATAACTTTATTTTCCCCGGAGATAACTTTGATCAGTTTGCATATTGTTTAGTTTGTTTGAGGGTATCAACATGTTACAGAGTGAATTATTGTAAGGTATAAAATATAAAAATAGTGAATCCAAAGGTTTCCTTACGCACACCTTTCCAGTGATTTAACCTCTCTGCTCAACGTGAAGGTCAGATCAGGGATATATTTATTATGATTCTGTTGCAAAATGTTTCGTCTGTTGCAAAACATTTTGCAACAGAAACGGTTTACTCCAAACGGAAAAAGTTTTGCAACGAAAAAGAGCGTTTCTATTGGACAAATTCAGGTAGGTCCCTCCCCATTTCATTCCATTTGTTCTGGTTGCTTCTGTTTGGTTCTTAAATGGTAAAATGGTTTCTGTTGTAGTGAATCCACCCCAGGCTCGTGAGGTTGCAGTCGGTAGGACTCAGCTAGTGACCAACTTAATGTAATGTCTTGAAGTGAATTCCTTTATGGCCCACAGTACCTCATCATTATCACTATTGTGAAACAGTAGTTTACTGTGTAACCATACACTATTATCACACCAGCTCCAGTCCTCACACCTTTGGGCTTTCAGTAGGCTCCAATACAAGGATGCTTCAAATTCGTGTATTGCTTCATTTTTCTTTGTTCCATAAACCAGGAAGCTTCATAGCATTCAAATAACCTTAAGTCTATTGTAGGCAATGGATAAAATATAATTATATGAGTGCTAAAAGCGTTCCAGAATACTGTGTTCCTTTTGACAGGCTTGCTGGAGAGCAGCATGAGGCTAAAGCCCCACGAAGCTCAAAGCTACCGCAAGAAAGCATTGTGGGTCTCCTGGGTTTCCATCTTTGTGACGCTGATCCTGGCAGTAGCAGCTTTCAGTGAGTATACGTTCTCTCGTTCTCTCTGAGGGATGAAGGGAATAAGCCTGGTCCCAGATCTGTTTCTGCTGCCTTGCCAACTCTGGTGAGTTGATAAGACATCACAAACAGATCTGGGACCAGGCTTTGAGGCAATGCCTTCCTGGTGATGATTTTTATATTCGACAATGTTCCCAATAGACTGTGATGAACCTGTCAATTTTGCAACTCTTATGACTATAGATAGCACGCCACCTGTTGTATGGGTGTATCTACTCTAACACATAAAATACAGTACACATACCATACTGCACATATTTACTAAACATACACTACATGGCCAAAAGTATGTGGACACCCCTTCAAATTAGTGGATTCAGCTATTTCAGACACACCCGTTGCTGACAGGTGTATAAAACTGAGCACACAGCCATGCAATCTCCATAGACAAACATTGGCAGTAGAATGGCCTTACTGAAGAGCTCAGAGACTTTCAACGTGGCACAGTAATAGGATGCCACCTTTCCAACAAGTCAGTTCGTCAAATTTTTGCCCTGCTAGAGCTGCCGCGATCAACTGTAAGTGCTGTTATTGTGACGTGGAAACGTCTAGGAGCAACAACAGTTCAGCCGCAAAGTGGTAGGCCAAACAAGCTCACAGAACGGGACCGCCGAGTGCTGAAGCGTGTAGCGCGTGAAAATCGTCTGTCCTTGGTTGCAACACTCACTACCGAGTTCCAAACTGCCTCTGGAAGCAACATCAGCACAATAACTGTTCGTTGGGAGCTTCATGAAATGGGTTTCCATGGCCGAGCAGCCGCACACAAGCCTAAGATCACCATGGGCAATGCCAAGCGTCGGCTGGAGTGGTGTAAAGCTCGCTGCCGTTGGACTATGGAGCAGTGGAGCGGTTTCTCTGGAGTGATGAATCACTCTTCACCTTCTGGCAGTCCGACGGATGAATCTGGGTTTGGCAGATGCAAGGAGAACGCTACCTGCCCGTATGCATAATGCCAACTGTAAAGTTTGGTGGAGGAGGAATAATGGTCTGGGGCTGTTTTTCATGGTTCGGGCTAGGTCCCTTAGTTCCAGGGAAGGGAAATCGTAAGGCTACAGCATACAATGACATTCTAGACAATTCTGTGCTTCCAACTTTGTGGCAACAGTTTGGGGAAGGCCCTTTCCTGTTTCAGCATGACAATGCGCCCGTGCACAAAGCGAGGTCCATACAGAAATGGTTTGCTGAGATCGGTGTGGAAGAACTTGACTGGCCTGCACAGAGCCCTGACCTGAACCCCATCGAACACCTTTGGGATGAATTGGAACGCAGACTGCGAGCCAGGCCTAATGGCTCAACATCTGTGCCCAACCTCACTAATGCTCTTGTGGCTGAATGGAAGCAAGTCCCCGCAGTAATGTTCCAACATCTAGTGGAAAGCCTTCCCAGAAGAGTGGAGGCTGTTATAGCAGCAAAGGGGGGACCAACTCCATATTAATGGCCATGATTTTGGAATGAGATGTTTGACGAGCAGGTGTCCACATACCTTTGTAGTGTATCTTACAATGTTTTGACTCCTGAAATGTGCAAAATGCTATTCAAATGGTTTATGATGGTCTAATAACAGTAAACGAAGCTTGGTAGCCATTTTGCTTAACAATGATGGGTTGGCTAAAGTAGAAACAGATCTGACTGCCAAGCTACAGTAAATTGACAGGAATAGAATGTACACTTTATTGTCCACACACACAGTTCAGTGCCTAGAGTCAGTCCTCCGGTTGCCAGTTCAGTTAGGCACAGAGTGGACACTTTTTTTTCATGCCTGGCCATGGGATTTGAACCAACAACCATACGGCTACTGGTCTGCCTCTCTAACCTCTATGCCACCTGCCTCCCCCGGAGGCTTTAATTGTGCTGGTGGTCATGGAGAGTTATTTCTAGACTGTTACTAGTTTGTGTTTCTATTGGTCTTTCCTCCTCAATGTAACACTACATCATCTGTGAGCTGGACACATTGACAATAAAGCAAACAAACAAAGCATGTTCGAATAGTTCTTGAAAAGCTCAGATTTCTCAGTATTATATTAGAATATAGTAACTTCTATAGCTCTGACAAGCTGTGATAAATCTCCACCAGGCTTCTTCAGGATGGGACCCATGTGGATACGATGACTCATGTTGTGCTTTGGGGTTGCAGGGTGGAGTATGGAATCAGATTGTTTTGCTCCGAGCTGTTTCATTTCAGCCGGTGCCTGAATCTCAACCCCTCTTATTACAGTTCATGAGACATGCTTGTATACTATATTTCCCAGTCGTTCAAGTTAAGTCATGACTTTTCAAATGGGACTGAGAATGTTTTTTTGTAATTTACTTTTTTGGGGGTGAAAAGAGCTGTCCACTCCAACAAGTACAAGAAGAGACATTAGAGCTTTCTCCACTACCAACGTTTTTTTAGCGTTGAAAAACAGCCATAGCTGATCTTAGAGTCATGCTATATTGTGTCACCCTAGGTTTTAGCTGCAGTTGGATTTTCCAGGTGCAGTAGGGAGTAGGTACAGTGGTTCACTGTAGAAGTTCAGGTTTACTGCATAAAGTTGGTAACATGATTTTACCCTCTTCCATGTTTTAAAATGATTTTGTCTTTTAATTTGTAACATATTCGACTAATAGGCGAAGACAGGTCAAATACAATTTGTTTCAGTGAGAAGTGAAAATGCAGCAGTGAATAGTGAATAGTAAACAGTGACTAGTGAATAGTCAACAGTGACTAGTGAATAGTCAACAGTGAATAGTGAATAGTCAACAGTGACTAGTGAATAGTCAACAGTGAATAGTGAATAGTAAACAGTGACTAGTGAATAGTCAACAGTGAATAGTGAATAGTAAACAGTGACTAGTGAATAGTGAATAGAAAACACTGTAACTTTCTATTGGCCAAGCGGCTCCATCCATCTCTGTATGTGTGCAGATTCAGCACGCGAGAATAATTAAGGATGGCAGGCTGCTGTTCTGCTGACTGGGAACAGATCTGGGAACAGATCAAAGTGGATCCCTATTCAGCAGCAATATTCAGGGGAGTTTCAATCTCAAGGTTGCAAGGGACATGTCCCAAATGTTACCCTCTTCCTTATATAGTGCACTACTTTTGACCAGGGCCCATATAGGAAGAGGGAATAGGGTGCCATTTGGGACGCAGATAAGGTTTTATACTTAGCCAAGGCTGTGAAGAATATATAGAGAGAAGACTGAAGCCTTGATCAAAGGATGTGTACCTGTCTTGCCTAGAGCTATGCTTGTTACCTATAGCTAACAGTACATTATAATACTGGCATATTTGTGCCAAGCAGAGAGTCATCGAGTCCCATTTTTAGAGTCTTTGGTATGGCTTGGCCGGGTATCAAACCCACAACCTTCCAAACTCAGGTGGATACTCTAAACACAAGTCCACTGAGTTGGAGACAGATACAGCCAGTGTAAAAAGTGATCTGCCTGCACACTGATATCTTATTACTCTCAAATCAACCTGGCCCCTCAAGAGAGAAACAGAGAGGGCAACAAGCCCAAGTTCAATCAACTCCTCCATACAGTGTCAGTGGGGAATGAGAAATAGGAATTCAATTTACAATAGTTCTACAAGCTCTTGGTTTAGCCACAGTTTGTGTATGGGCCCATGGGAACGGGGTTGTTGTTATAGTATTGGATGAATCTGGTCTGTAATTGTGTTTTCAACTGCTGAGTTTCCTTTTTCTAAATGAGCAGCACATTTCCTGTTCTGATGAGGGCAGCAGTCCTTCCTCCTTTTTCTCTGTGTGTGTTTGGAGGAAGTTACTTTACTTTTAAGACCACTCTCATTCCGTCTCTCTCTCTCTCTCTCTCTCTCTCTCTCTCTCTCTCTCTCTCTCTCTCTCTCTCTCTCTCTCTCTCTCTCTCTCTCTCTCTAGGTTAAAAAAAACTATCTTTCTCTCGCTCTTTCTCTCGCTCTCTCTCTCTCTCACTCTCGCTCTCTTTCTCCCTGCTTAGTAAACAATGCTTAGTACATGATGTTCTGTTCATAGCATGATAGTGGCTTTACAATCCAGCATTGTAAATATACTGTACATAGGTTGCGTCCCAAATGGCACCCTATTCCTTATGTAGTGCAGTACTTTTGACCAGGGCCCATATACGGAACAGGGTGCCATTTGGGATGCAGAGATACATTAACCACATATACACAGTACACACCTCTTCACAGTTCTGAATACAATGAAATCAAATATTGATTGACAATATTGCATTATCACATCAGTGGTGTAGGCTAAGTAGACAACGTTATTTGATGAAATGGGATTATATGGCTCTGCTACCCTTTATGGAATGTTCTGGTGTGTACTGTGTCACCTTCTTCAGTGTGTATGTTCTGAGTAAGAAAAGTGACTGATTGGCTATTATGGGTATCTATAGCACCTGGAGTCTTTCTCTATAGATGTCTACCTGAACGATGGCAACTCGGGTATGCAAACAGGAAAACAATAGCATTAAGCAAACACTGTTGCAACCAGCTCCGGTTTTGGTGGGAATTCTCAGTGAGGCATGCAGTTGCACAAATACACTTGGCTTGGGTCACATAGATTCCTTGCTGCCCAGATCAATAGGCCAATAGGTGTGTGCATGTTTGTTGTGTGTGTGCTTGTTGTGTGTGTGTGTGTGTGTGTGTTTGTTGTACAAGGTGAGCAACGTGGACAGCACACCTACAGTAGTTTACTTGTGTGTGTTATTTAATTGTCCTCTGCTTTCTTAGTCTTCATGTGATTTCAAAGATACTCAACTACAATTAAATCACACTACGGAAATTGTATTTTCTAAGCTGCTTGTCATCTGTGACAGGTTTTTAGGGGGAAGGGAGGGAGGTAGGGAGGAGACGGTGCAGGAAAACGTACACCAGCAAGCCTTGTGTGACTACGAACAAATATCCAAGGATACTCACGCTTCCAGGATCCATAACAAGACCAGTGCACGTCCGCTCTATTTGCATTCATTGGGCAGCGATGAGGAGGCCCTTTCTCTCTCTCTC